CAAGAAAATTATATTCGGCGGAGTCCAAATCTCGCATATCCATCACTCGGCACACATTCCGGGTATTATTAAGAAAAAATTCATGGCGGTGTCTACCATATTCATTTTAGAATTCAGTCGCACTCAAAGATATCTTAGATTGGAACTGAAGTCGATACTGCGACTAACAACCTGACTGCCTTCGAACACTACAAGGGTACATTGTGTTTGTGCGGATGTATGCCTAGAAGAATATGAGGAAGGCGCACCTTTTATTGTACGGAATCATTTAGAATAATTTTCTGAATCGATTTAACCTTGTCTGTCCGTCTAGTGTTGTTTTGTTCAACCTGCAGGCCGTTTGAGATATTTTGATGAAATTCGGCACACTGAAGGGTTGAGGCTCAGGCACGAGGACTGTTGGAAATTATTCCGATCGGCCCATTTTTTCGACCACTATCCCTATATCTACTTGTTTTGAAAGTTGTTACATGAATAACCGTAGGTATGGTATATCACGGTATATCACGGTGTTCCATGGCCAACTATTGTGTTTTTACTTGTTTGTTGTTGCAAACAAAAATGTTTTTTTTAAGGCTTTTCGTTTCAGTTAATTACCAATTGATTGCCTTGTCATTGTATTTATTGAAAAGCGAATAACTTCCCAAAATGATTTTTATGATTTTCCAGAAGTGACGAATAAAAATATGTATTTTTTATGTAATGTTTTTTTTTTTCAATTCTTGATTTTCAAAGCATATTATAGAAAATAAACTTGTCATTTATTGTTTTCTCAAGTGAATATGAAACTATTCAGTTTAGATTTCATTTTCAAAGGAATTCAATGAAGACGTTAAACCTTTTGTCACGGTAAACTGAACACGTACGTATCGTCAATATATACAAAGCATGTTTAGATTTTGTGCGAACAATGCACAGTAATATAACGATAGTTGACTCTGTTAAATTACACTTACCTGCGCATATTTTAATTGAAGTCACGTTTCTATGTACATATATATACATATACATATCGTTTCGTTTTCCTGTATAAGTTTAAATTCGAAGAATATATGAATTGTTTTGTCTCTAATAATTTCATTTTTCCCATCGATTAGGTATTTTCTTCTTTTTCTTTTTTTTTTTTTTTTACAAATTTCCTTTTCGCGTGACTATACATTCAAAATGTACTCTAATCTCAATTACTTTTAGACAAAACTGTCAATTTCAGCGATTTCAGGCGAGACAATGTTTCAAAAAGTAAGCAAAACGTTTGCTCGCAAAGATGCATCCCCCCTAACTCACTTATAGCTTACCGCGTCGGGCTAGGCCGATTATAAATACCCTACCCCACATTGTCTAACACAGTTCTTATTTTTGCCATAGAACACAAAAATTATAACATGTTTTTATGGGAATGTGCATTAAAAATTAGACTTTTTAGCAAATGGAGTCTGGCGTTTCGTTAGAACGATTGTATCATTTTTTATGTTACATTGTTATTATGATATAATTTTCATCATGAAGCATTGAAAATTATACCTTTTTTTCGTTATATGAGAGGGGATTCGAAAATTGCCTCAGCCATTTTCGCATTAACTTAGAATACCGAAATATTACTGCTTAGCCACTTTTGGCGAGAACTTTTGAAATTTGCCATTTTTTTGCATATAGCGACATTACGGAATAGGTCGTTATATAGAACAGTGTTCGTCTTTAGGTCAAAATACATCACTGCGACACAAATGCGATCTGCAGCTTGAACGCAAATTTACATGGACAGATATAAGACGGACAGAGGGACAGACAGGTTTAAATTAATTGAGATTATGATTGCGAATCGATCGGTATAATAAAAGATGTCTATCTTAAACTCTTCTGTTGTTACTTACGTCCGCATTAATTTAACATATCCTGTACCACAAGTGGTGTAGGGTATAAAGATTAATAAATTAAATATCCTGAAAGTTATACCTTATTTTCGTGCAAAGGTACAACAATATTTATCATCTGTTTCCGTCATAAAGAACTATATATTAGGCCTTGTCGCCTTGTAAGGGCTTATGTTTCATGAAAATCCGTACATATATACATATATAGATCAAAGTAATTGAAATTACCTACCGTTAATGTTACTACCGTTAACGCTTATGCCAAATTGAACTATGTCAAATTGCCATTATGAACTATCAAAAACTTTTTTCCAAAAGTCTTTCTGTTCATAAAAAAGAGAAAATTTTTATAGAGTAGGGTCCAAAAAGTAGATCCATCCATTAGTCCATATTATGTTAGGTACGGCAATTTGCAAGTCACTGGAAAGGCTATATTTTTATGAATGAGGCCTTTCCTCTAAAAACGGATCAAAGGTAGACTGACGGATATGGTTGAATTGATTCAGAATTTTACCTTGACTAAGAATATGGATATTTTATATACTTATACTGATAGCTTTCCGTTAATCGAAAATTTTGTTTTTATTTGTTTTTCGTTAGCTGACTAATCACATAGGACGGATGTCATCTATATGTGTAAGACATGTGTAGGTCAGAAGGGAGTGGAAAAAGAAAGCAAAAGAGACAAAAAGTATTCATAGTTTAGATATTTATATTTAGAGTCTTATGCTGATCAAGAATAAACATATTTTGCATACGTATATTGAGATTTTTACGCTAATCAAGAATATGGATTTCTTATGTATTTGTATTCAGAATTTAATGCTAATGAAGTATATAAAATATATCTTATATCTTATATACTCATATTGCGAATCTTAGGCTAATCAAAATATTAAAGATTTATACTATGGCGCGTATTTTTGGAAGGCTAAATATAATATATCCTCAATCTTAGATGACGTATTTAATAATAACTTTCCAAGTGAACAAAAGACTATATGATATTCTCATTTAAAACTTGCGCCTTATGAAAATAGATTAATGCGATTTGATCTACCCACACCGGAAAGAAGGCATGAGATGTTGCGAATTGTCTTAAAGGTATAACATCTTCTCCGTTTTTACGTCAGAGAATCTCGTTTAAGGTGACTACTAGATTTGCGAGCCACTGCGAAGCAATTTATTTGCCTCACCGCCGCACCAACTACCAATTTCAGAACACCTTCCGGATGCTTTGTATGATGTAAAATACTAATCTTTATTTGTTTGATTCGTCATCGAATTGTGCGCGTATCATCAAGGATATTCTTCCACGGATATGTCGCTTAATAGATTTATTTATAAAGATCCTTCGTTTTATTCGAACGATTAAATGAATCCAAACGCACGTACATGTCTTTCTTTCTGTTCACTATAGGTATTCATTCAATTACTCGTAACATATTTTTTGCGATCTATAGCAATATGTATTATTTTGCTCTCGCTATCATATTTTTACCCGCATTTCTAAGATACTTTGTACCAGTTGATAACTTTCATATGTACATGAATAAGTAAATAAATAATTGGCATACGTATGACAGCACAAACATACACTCGTATTTGATACGATATGCAACATTCATCGAACAAATTGTTTTTCGCTTTACGCTACTATCCGATAGCACACACAACTAAATTGCTAAATTCTAAAAAACTTTGCCCAAGCGGAATGAAACACCTTCTTTTGTTTTATTTAATATTTTGAGCTATAAACAAATTACATTATGTATGTATGATACCATGCAATGCCCAATACCATAAACCTATATATATTACAAAAAAATTCGATCTAACTTAAATGTATCATATTTCTTTATTAGCATGAGATATTTCTCCTCGCTAGGCTGAGAGAGATATTTTGGAAATAATTGCATCGATTGTATTGATATAAATTATTACAGAATTATTGCAGAGATAATATATCATCAAAATGCAGTCGATTAAACCTAACGAATTACCACAAAATCCCTATGAACGTTCAAATATATTTGCACGTTTGTGTTTTTTGTAAGTATTCTCTTCATTCAACTTATGCTTATGCTTATTATGTAATCATTTTTACTAAATTTTCTCTCTCTCCTCTTTTTTTTCCTTTTTAGTTATACACTACCAACGTTTTTTAAGGGAAGGAAAAAAACATTGGATACAAAAGACTTATATAGAGCTTTAAAAGAGCATAAAGCAGGTACATAAACTTATTGAAATAATTGCCTTGAGAATTATTATTATCACTTATTATCAAAAAACAAAAAAAAAAACAAAAAAAAAACAATAAAATATTATTCAAAACAATTTATATGTTTACATTATGTATTATATAAGTATATGCATGGAGCTGGAGCATGTGTATGGAGAATATCAAGCTCATGTGTTAAAAAAAATTTTTTTTATGAAATTTTTATTGTATGCATATATAAATGAAATAAAAACAATTTAATAGGGGAGTATTTTTAGTTGAAATATTTTTAATAATTTCAAAAATGATTCTCTTATCTGTACTTATCAGAAAGGTTTTTTCTTTTCTTGCTTTTAAAAGGAAATAAAATTGGAATGAAAGCAGTTTTCATTAATCTTTTAATTAGCGCACAGTTGTTTTTCAATTTTTATAGAGCTTCGAGGAATGCGTGAACAAGTTATCGCATTGATTTATTTGTTTAGCTCCCTTATTTAACATTAGAAGCATGCAATAAAAAGTTTACTTCACTTTACTACCTTACTTTGATACGACCCGCAAATATCCTTTTTGAAGGAAAACATTTATTTATTAAAAAAAAAAAATTATTATGAAAACATTAATTTTTGATAATATTCAAAATTATTTAAAATAAATTAAAATATTATACTATGGTGTGGCGCTTTCTCTATGCTATTTCGTCTATTACAGTTACTCATATAGCGAGTTTTCAGAATAAGTCTTTATACGGGCAACGGCCGAAAAAGTGGTCCGATGCGAACCAGTTTTAATAGCTTTGGACCTTGTGTCAGACCACGTTGGTGTACCATATGTCATGGAAATATCACGTTGGTTCAGCACAATAAAACAAGACAGATAGACAGACGATCGATGCAAAAGGTAGTGCTGAATTCATCGATATAATAGAAGCTGAGTCTATCTGATGTCCTTTTGGATGTTGGACACATCCGGATAACTTCATTGCTGTGCTGATAAGAAGGGGGCAGAAGTTCTCGCTTCAGTTCCCATTTTTAACGGAATAAAAAATGACATCCACGGCTTTGTGCTTTGAAGTGGATTGAACGGCACCTTGTAAATAACTGAAGCTTATATCGTACAAAAATCATGGTCAAAGTTATCTATAATTGAAATTGAATTGAAATTTCGGGAGAAATCCACACAACAGGCAGATTTTATAAAGCAACCAATTTCAATGCCGTTAAGTTACTTGCACACCTAATAGGTTAGGAATGTAAGGTGATAAATTCCAGTCTTCTAATTAAATTTTTCCGTGAAAAGTCTAAAAGTCCGAAAAGATTGATAATAAAGCAAAAACCATGTTGCAAAGGGTCTTTGACTTTATCGGAAAGAATTCTTTGCAAGCGTTATAAACAGTTCGAAAAAGGCCGAGAACGAGTTGAAGACGATGGTCCATGACGACCACCAACCGTAATGGATGAAAGCCACGTCAAACAAATCGAAGAATCGGTGTTCAAAACCGTCAATTAACAACTTGCCACCTTGCTGAAGCTGTTGGCATTTCAAGCGAATCAGTCAACAACATTTTAAAAGAAATTTTGATCCCAACGTGCCAAACCTCACTCACTTAATTTCTTCATATCATTCCAAAACCAGTATACTCACTTAATTTAGCCCAGAGCCGATAGCCTGTGTTGCTGGTGCTCAGTGTCTTTTTTTAGTCTAAGAATTCATTTCGTTAGTCTAAAATTAAATAATAATAATAATAATTTAGCCCAATTTGATTTCTGGCGATTTTCTTTACTCAAGAGAATACACCGTGGGCAAGGTTTTGCCTCGATTGAACAGATACACGCTGAATAGGAGAAAGCTTTGAAGGCTATTTCAGAAACCTCAATTTTTGCTAATGTGATCTTTCAGGGAGAAAATCGGCAATAAAATTGCCTAAGAATCTACCAGACCACTTCGCCCACAATTATTCACTCGTTTTGGCCATAATACATCTACAATTACAAATTATTTTCACGCAAAGGCTAGAAATTAGACATTCGTCCCACGTAAGAGCTTGCTTTTCATGGTAACCTCTATATATATTAGAGTCTAAAAGATTGACCTACGTCGTTCGAATTGCGTACCGTTTTTTTTTTTCTAAATTTTCATCATAAAATGTTAAAAATTAAATATTTTTCTGAATGGCTTACTGTTCATGAGAAATCGTATATGAAGTGGTATCCAAGAAATAGACGCACCTGGTTCAAGTATGTTCCACTTTATTTTTATGCCAAGTTACTATCATGAACAAATTTTCAGCACAAAACATTGAGAATTAGG